GCTGCAAGGGAGGCTGGGAAGTGTAGTTCTCAGGCTCCTGACCAGACCTAGCCGCAAGGGAGGCTGGGAAGTGTAGTTCTCAGACTCCTAACCAGACCTAGCTGCAAGGGAGGCTGGGAAGTGAGGTTCTCACACTCCTGACCACACTAGCTGCAAGGGAGGCTGGGAAATGGGGTTTTTAGTTGGGCCATCATATGCCTAGCTAAAAGTCAAAAGTTCTGCTACTTGAGAAAAAAAGAGTCCATTTAGAAAAATTAGTGTCCGTGATGGGGAGAGTCTGGTACCATGAAATTTCACAGGAGGGTGGAGTGAGGCCCAGGTAAGAGAGGAGGAGGCCTGAACTGGGACTGAACCCTCGACGAGGAGGTGGCCCCTATTCCTCCCCTCACTGTAGAATTGCTCTTTCTTTTGCCTTCCAGAAGCCGGCCCCAGGCTCTCCACAGGTCTCCCCTCCCAGCCCTGTCACATTTCCCGAGGACAGCCCTCCCCTCTCCAACACCTCTCCTGCGGGCCTCTCCCCAACGGGGATCCCGAAGCGGCGCACAGGTAAGGACACACAGGAAGGATGCCCCTTCCGTGGCTCCTCTTTGTGCACGCAAGGGTTTCTGCACCAGGCGGCCACCCTCGTCCCAGCTCTGATCTTAATGTTGTGGTGGAGAGCATGGCTTCACCATCCGCTGGCTGTGTGACCTCGGGTAAATGACTTACCTTCTCTGAGCGTCAGTTGCTTTATCTGTAGGACAGAGATGACCATAACTGGGCATTTACCCTACAGAGGTTAAGAGGAAATAGGCGTAAAGTGCTTGGAATTGGGCCTCGCCCGTAGTGAGGGCTCAGGAAGTGTTGGTTATTCTAACCGTGGTTACGTGCCATCGTGGAGACAGCGCAGCTCACGGCGGGAGCACGGGGCCGGGGCCACGACGCAAGGGAGGCTTGTGGAAGAGAGATTCCCCAAGCCGAGCCCTGAAGGACAAGGAAAAACAAACAGGGAACGGGGAGGGAAGAGAGTTAACGGAAGGAGGCGGCGGGAAGGCCCTTCAGGGCACCGATGCCCTGGCGTGCTGGAGCTCAGCGCACAGGGTTGGGGACACCGAGCAGGGACACTGGAGAAGGTCCATGGGAAGCCGGCCTGTGGAGGGGCACCTGTGTCCCCTGAGGGATCAGGAAGGTCTCGTACAGGGGGAGCACAGGTGAGAGACCCTCGTGTGATGGCAGGTGACGGGTGTCGCAGGTGTGACACATGAAACTAACAGACCGTATGTTAATTACACTCGCGTACAAAAGCTTTAAACAGTTTTATGTTTGTTTGTATTTTTGAGAGAGAGAGAGAGTGAGCACAAGCGGGGGAGGGGCAGGTTGGGGGCAGGGGGACAGAGGATCTGAAGCAGGCTGTGTGCTGATAGCAGCGAGCCCGACGCGGGGCTCGAACTCATGAACCGCGAGATCGTGACCTGAGCCGAAGTCGGTTGCCCAACCGACTGAGCCACCCAGGCTCCCTCCCAATTTTTTTTTTTTAACGAAAAAAAAAAAAGAGAAAAACAATAGCGGTGGGAATAGGGCACTGTACGTACGTGGGAGCTCAGAACTGAGCCAGCGCGGGGGGAGTGACACCTTGAGCTGAGCCTTGGAAAGGGATTGGTGCTGACTGCGCCATGCGGCCAAGAGCAGCCTGTACGGAGGCCTCGAGGCCTCGGGAGGGCGCTCCGGGGATCGCACACCCTGGAATGTTTCTGGAGACTGAAACGCACTTCAGGGAGCAGGAAGACCTTGAAGGCAGTGCGCGGGGAGACAGGAGAGCGGGGCTGGCTCGCGGAGGCCCACACGTGCTGGGCCAGGGGCCCGGGGCCCGTCCTGGGGGTCCTGGGGCGCCACCGGAGGGCTGCGGGAGCGGGGGGTCATGATGACACAGCTGACTGGCTCAGGGCTGACGCTGAGATCGGCCCTGGGTTGGGAGGAGGGGGGTTGGAGAATTCTTTTTAGAGGTAATGACCTCTGAACGTTGCCCCAGAGGGCCACCGAGCAGCAGCACGTGCCAGGGCCCGGAGTTGTGACACAGCGTGGTGTGTCTGGGAACAGCAGCAGTTCGGCGGGGGGGGGGGGCGAGGGGGGGGTTATGTGGCATGGGAGGAGTTAGAAGGTCAGCCGGAGAGAGGTGAGGTAGGACAGGGGCCCACATCCAAAGACTCTATCCTTCAATGGCTGGCTGGTGGGGAGACACGGGCGGCTTTCTGAGTGAGGAGGACCGTGCCGGCCGCGGCTGAGAGCAGGTCCCTCTGCGGCCACGCGCAGGAGCCACCGGGTCCAGGAGGCCGGGGAGAAGGTGACAGATGGCGGTAAAAAAGACTGCAGTTGCCTTTTCGGTAAATTCCTCACCGCGCTTGAGCATCCGCTTGGGGTCTTCTAGAAGCGGCCTCAGAAGTTCCAGAACAAGAGTGCAAATGCGAGTCGTTTGTTTTGGGAAGCACAGAGAACGCAGACCGTGAGGGATTCAGGGAAGGCGGCCCAGCCGAGAGAAGATGGGCGTTCATGGTGGCTCCTTCGGTTTACGGGAGTCACTAGCGAGGGCCCGTCGCAGGACCCGTTGCTTCCTGGCCTCTCGCAGACGTCTGAGGCCCCGGAAGAGCCATCCGGGACACGCACTGATGGTTAGGTCTTAGGGGTGCAGGCAGGGCACTGAAGGGGTCTACTAGAGTCCTCCCTGGGTCCTGAGCCGAGCGCATCACCGCGTCACTAACTTTTGGGGGTTTTCACTCTGCACAGGCGGACGAGCGAGGCACAGAGAAATTAAGTAACTTGCTCCGGGTCACACATCCAGGAGGCAGCACAGCTTGAAGGATGAGGCCCGCCTCGGGGCAGAAGGGGGGGCGGTCCCAGAGACTTCTCCAGGGGCCCTCATCACCGATGGGCCTGTGCTCACTGGGGAGGGGGGCAGACAGGCCAGCGAGGTCAGCCCTACCGTGCCCTTTGCCTTCCCAGCTCGGAAGCAGCTTCCTAAACGGCCGATTCAAGATATCCTGGAAGAACAGAGCAAGGATGAGGACAGAGAAGCAAAGAGGAAGAAGGAAGAAGGTGAGTCACCAGGAGGAGGGAGAGAGAGGGAGAGAGTGTGTATATGGCGGGAATCTGGAAGGGTGGGGGCCTCTCCGATGGGACAGGGTGTTAGGATCCCCGATTTGATGCCTGTGTCCCTGGATCCAGATGTGACCATCAGAACCCGACCCCCCCCCCCACCCCCAGCCTAGGCGTCGCTGTTGTGAGAGCGTTTTGAAATCCATTCCTTGGGCCTCTTCAGTTTAGTGTTAATTCGTACACAGTTTGGCCCATTTTTATCTTCTGTTTGTTTTGATGGAAAATCGTTTCCTCTCTATCACATCTTTTTCCTGAGAGATTTTATCAGGAAGCAGAGATCCCCAGCCTCTCACAGCGCCCTTAGTGTCTCAGTGATTTTTTTTCTGGGGGGGGGGGGGGGGGGG